GCGGAGTGCGGAGTTGCCCGCCGCGGCCGCGCCCCAGTCGGGCTGGGCGCCCTGCGCCCAGGCGCGAGTGACTTCCTCTCGGGCGAGTGACCAGGTCCTAGAAAACATTGACATGAGGCCACTGACACGGTCTCCCCCGTCTTTCCCCCCAAGTGGCGCCCCGGGGCCAGGGGGATTTGCCGGGGCCGCGTCGAGCAAGCCTCAAGGGCCTGGAACAGAGCAGCGAGTTCTTGGAGCCCTTCCCTGGGGGGCCGTTCCATGTCGAGAGGGGTGAGTTCGTCGACCCCGCGCCCTGATTTGGCCTTCATGCGGCGCAAAGCGCAGCGCGCGGACTCGAGGCCCAGCGGCTCAAGCTCCTCGACCGCTGCTGCCCGCCGAATTTCGTGAACCAAGTCCTGCACAGTGGACAGAGAGATCGCCGAGGGGCTCCACAACTTGTGCCAGCGCTGTGCCTTGTGGTCGACAATGTTCACCGGGCGGTAAAGGTTTCCCCCGCGGGTGCGGATTTGATCGGGGGCGGTGGGGAGCCTTCTTAAGGGCCTTATGGAAGATCCCCGAAGCCTCGGGGGCCATCGCCCACTCATTGAACTGCTTTCAAGACCCCGGCGCGGCGCCACGAGGAGACCTGGCAGCTGCCCCCTTACCAGCGGTGGCCATCTTGAAAATGACCTCGTCGGAGAGATCTGCTAACCTGATTTGCTTGGCCTGCCAGTCCGCCCGCCCTGTCTGCTGCCCACTTGCCTGCGCCGAGGCGCCGACGAGCGGAGCGCGTGCAGGCTCGTCACTGGCCAAGGCCGCGGCAGAAACAACAGGCTGGGCCTGTTGAACACGTCCGTTTCTACGTTGTCGATGTCAGGGAAGTTTGAAAAGTAAAGTAGGTATACGTCCTACCAAGACGCCACCCGATCGCGAAGAGGTTGATCCCGAACCTTCTCTAAAGCTTTCATCTCGACAACCTGAAAGTAAGACACCTTCCCTCGAGTAGTAAGCCCTCCCAGGGCTTTCCCGTGGTGCTCGAGAACAGCCGTCTCGACCGTGGACGCCCAAGTAGCGCGCGTAGCCCCGAGACGCAACGCCCGCGCGCCCCCAGCGTGGAGGGCTGCAGACTCACGCATCACAGGCCAGACCTGCTCAGAAGCGCGTTCGCTGGTGAATCCGACGCTGCGCCGACAGGAGAGCCACAGGTCAGAAGGGAGGAAGAAGGGGGGAAGGTCATTAACTACGTCTGCCGAGGGTGGGCTCGGGGGTTCGGGGGGTCCGAAATGTCGTTGGCCGTCGACATAGCTAGCTCGAGGTGCACTGTCCGCCGCCAGGGCCTCTTCGGGGTTGACTAGGGGCAGCGTCGGCGTCAACCGTCTGCTGCTCGAAAGTCTAGAAAAAAAGCACGGGCGTCGGCGAACTCGCAATCGAACTCTCCGTTCCAAAAGGACTGCGGGGCTGTCGGCGGCTCGTCGAGATCCCCGAACATGCCCCGGGTGGCTTCGAATATGTTTTCCTTGGCAAGACTCTGCTTCATGCGACGCTCTGCCTTGGCTCTGCTGGACTTCGAGCCAGGCGTCGGCGCCGCCGTTGGCCTCGGCGCCTGCGGCACACCGGCGGGCAGCACCAGATCGCGACAGAGCAGCTGCGCACCAGAACGTCTCCAACGCAAATGAACGCCGCAATGAGGATGCCACGGCGCGGCTAAAACTGGCTCGGCATGAACGAGGTACGGCGTGCAGGAAGGCCCCGCAATCACATGGTCCAACATGCCTCCACGACCAGACTCACGCGCGCGTGCAACTCCTTCCGGCGCGAAGATTGCGCCGCCGACCCCGTCGAGAAATCCTGAAGCAACGAGGGCCTTTGGTCGGATCTTGTAATCGTCAATAATCAGCCAAGGTAACCGTAGTCGAGTGACGAAGGCCCCCAGCTCGGCGAATCCCCCCGAGCTTCTGCCCGAGAAACCGTCAGGACAGAATCCATAGAAAGCAGCCGCCATGATTGAGAATCCACGCTGATGCAGAATAGTGGCTGCGAGCCCGCCCACTGCGCCTGAGTCGTCTGGAGCTAACTCGCGCGTGACGGCGCCCTCTGTTCCCATGGACTGCACCTGCAAATTTTGTCTGGGTATCCACCATTCTCCACCTTCATTCGCCCTATCACGAGCAACGCCGCTTTGAGCCTTGCGCGATGGTCTGGCAGCGTTGATCTGGACCTTGAGCTTGGCTTTCTGAGCCTCTGGCTTCCAATAAATAGGCCCTGTCCGTGTCTGAATGAACATGTGTCTCAACTATAGCAAAATGATGGCACATCCGACACTCATCCCCAGTCGAAAACGTCCAAGCCTTTCTCCCCATGGCCGCGGCGCTGCCGAACAAAATGTCGGTTTACTCGTCGCCCTGATCGAGCGGCTCCAACCCCTTAGCACTGTCCGAAGAAGAGACCGCGTCCGCAGCACGCCCAGACGCAGCCCCGTGCACTCGTCACATCATCTTGACCGCCTCGCTGGCGGCCCCGGCAGCCCCAACCTTGGCGGCGGTGAGTTTGGCGGTAGCTTCCTTGATGCGCTGCTGCCGCGCCTCCTCTGCCGCGGCCGCCGCGCCTGCGGGGGCTGCGGCCGCTGCAGCCGTTGCCGCGGCAGCCGCGGCTGGGGCAGCCGCCGCGGCGCTGGCACCGCCCGCGGCCGCGCCGCTGGGCGCCGCCACCGTGGGCGCAGCGCCCGCTGCGCCGCCGCCGCCGCCGCCCGCCGCCACGCCGTCGTCGGCTCGCCTCTGCTTGGCCATCCTGGTCTGGATCTGCGCCTGCAACTCCTCGGCCTTCGCGAGCCACTGCTGCACCTCGGAGTTCTTGGCGCCGAGGTGCGCGCAGTGCAGGAAGTAACCGAACACAGGAGTACCACCGAAAAGAGGACCAGCATCATGAAGAGAAAGACCCAGTCCTGCCCTCGAGAAGCTCAAGCAAGATGTGGAGGCCCAACTTGCAACTCGCCACCTGAATCGATGCTCTTCTTGATATCGAGCGCGCCGCTCCACTGGTGATCCACCCCGACTTGCTCGTGATCCTCGGCTGGTTCACCCGGGAGGTCGGCGGCGAGCGGTGGGCTCGCTGAAGTTGACGCCTGGCGTCATCGAAGCGCGGGCGCTCCTGGAAGTAGCGCCTCATGCTCGGCCTGGGGAAGTCACCGCCCTCCTGTAACGAGCCAGCGAGACCCTGCGCGTAGAAGAGCGTGCTCTGTAAGCACGCTTTCGCACTGCTCCAGGCTGAGAGAAAACGAACCCGCAGCGGCCCAGCCTGGTGCGAGCTCGATTTTTTTGTGTCACCTGACACTGCTGATCGTCAAAATGCAACATGCCCGCGAGCAACCCGAGGAAACTGTACGAGTGCACCACGAGCGGCTTTGGGTCGACTCGAGGGCCGACACTTTGCTTTGAGGGATCGCCACCCTGGTCAGCAGGACAACCTGGACGATAAGATGGAGCTTGCTAAAATCCCACACCCTAGCTGCTGGATGCAAGACTTGCGGCGCGCCACGACTCCGCCGCGAACGCACCGCGAGGCCGTCGCGGGACATGACGGCGCCCCCCACCGCAACACGCACCAATGCCTCGACGATAGTGCCCAAGCGTTACCAAGGGCCCCCTCCCGGGGCTTGAGGACTTTGACATGGCCCTGGCTGCAGCGTCAGACTCCCCCACGCCCGAACGGCGCCCATGGCGCGCCCGAGGAGCGCTGGGGCACGGAACAAAAATGTGGCCAACACCCTGGTGGGTGCTTTTCTGCGACGGTGGCACTGCGGGTTACTGCGTCGCAAGGCACGGCTGTCCGTGCAGCGTTTGGCCTGATGGCTATACAGCTGCGTGCCTGCGTTTCTGCGTTATGTCTGTCAACTAAGCACATGGCATCTGGGCATAATGCCCCGGGGTAACGTCCCCGCGCCGGTCACGCGAAATGCGTCCGAAGTCCGTGGAACCCATGGTGCTGTCCACGGACGGCGCCCCCCGCAAGGGCTTGGCGCCGAGGTCCCGCTTCGTGCTCTGGAGGTCCGACCCCAGGCGCCGCAGAGCCTCGAGCTCCGCGGGCTCGGCCTCGAGCTTGTCCAAGTCGGCGAAGAACGACTCGCCCCGCTGGATGTCGAAAAGTGGGCCGCCCTCGCCGCTGCTGCCCGCGGAACCCTTGGCTTGCGGCTGGACGTCGCACTTGCTCGCGAGCGCCTGGATCGCCATGCGCTTGGCCTCCTGGGCTGCTGCGAACGCCATCGCCGCGTCGGCCTCCTTCTCAACCGCCCGCTTGAGGTTCTCCTGGCACCTCTGCCAGGCGAAGGCGGCGGAAGCCTACTCGTGCATGAGCTCCGCATCGCGCACCGCGCCGACCGCTTTGCGGAGGACCTCCTCGGGCGCCTCGGCCTGGGCGGCGGCGTCGGAGATGCGCAAGTTGGTTATCTTGACCCGTAGGGCCCTCTGCAATGTCTCGTCGCCTGCTGCTGCTGCTGCCAGAGCTGCCTCCAGAGCCGCGATGGGCTTCGGCGCTGCGGGCGTGGATGCTGGCGGCAAGGGGAGATGATTGCCAGCTGAATTGGCTGCGGGCTGAGGTGATGACCTCTTGCTGCCCTGATACAATGTGACAAGACGGCCACACTGTGCGCACTTGCGTTCGGAAGACAAAAGCACTGAATTCCATTCATGTCAACCGCAACCTTTGCATGTGCTCCATGCGCCCGCTGGAGAAAAACTAACGGACATGGCAACACTCTGGGAAAGGAGAAAGAAAAACGATTTGCCCCCGTGGCCACCGAGAAGGGTGGCCAGGGGCTGCTGCCTCGGTGTTCCCCAAGCGCCACGGGAAGGCGAGGGCTCTCGACTCCGACCGCCAAAAAAGTGCTCGGGCCGAGGCTTGAGTGGATGATGAGGAGGAGGAGGAGGAGGAGGAGGAGGAGGAGGAGGAGGAGGAGGAGGAGGAGGAGGAGGAAAAGGAGGAGGAGGACAAGAAGGAAAGGGAGGAGAGCAGATCCCGGGCAGGGCCTTAAATGAGGCTCGCGCGCGCGTAGACCGACCTGGGTAGGCGGCGCTCGCACTACTGCCCACGCGAGCAGAAGCGAAAGAAAGACGCGGGGGGGGAAGGGAGAAATCAGCGTTTGTTTTTGAATTCGGAATGTCTCGTTCGGAATTATGAACTCTTTACCCTGTGTTTATCGTTCGGAATTTCAAGAACCAGCGTTTGGCTCGGGACGTCCACACATTTTTTAAATTTGGCGGCCCTACGCGACCTCGATATCGATCGCAGAATGTACTCGCTGGCCCTACGCAAATCGAGGCCCAGCCGGCCCTCCGCAAGTCAATGCCTGGGGGCAGCGGAACACAATTGAAAGAGAACCCTGGGCCGGCGCCCTTTCCGGGAAAAATCGAAATCACCACAGCACAGCCAAGAGCGACAGCGACCAGGGACAGCAGAAACTGGCGCAGCAAGGAAGTGGCGGGATCCCTTGCACTGGAGGGCCGTAGACAAAATTAACAACGACCAGTGAAGCGAAACCAAGTGTGAACCGACGACTTGGCGGAAAAGCCCCACCTGGAGCACTGGCGCCAGGCATGGCCGCGCAGCGCGGGGGCAGCCCGGAGGCTGCGGCCAGACAGCTGGCCGACCGCCGAAGCGCCGGGATGCGCTGGCGGGGAGAAGGGGGGGAGCGGGGAAGAGAGCGGGGAAGGGGCACCGGAGAGCGCCCACCGCGCTGACAGCACACTCCAAGTAAAGGATCAAAGGACTCTGGTACAAGGCCCGGGGGGGGCGACCCAGCAACTGAGCACCAGGGCGGCAAAAAGCCGGAGCATCTGTGGAATGGGACATGAAGCGCGCAAGCGCCAGACAGGGAGGCCGACCCCCAAGCAGCCACAGCACACAGCGCATGAGTGACCAGGAAAGCGTGGCGCCGCCGCACCCGCCTCAACATGCTCCAAGTCCACGTAAGCCCATTCCCAAGTGGCCAAAACCCACGTGCTCACATAATTCAAATAAACATGACGAAGCTAACCGTAAGTACCGAGCCGCATCCGCAATTGTAATCTCGGATGAGCTCAAAGTGTAAACACCAGGGCGACCAATCGCCGGCAGAGAGGGAAGCCAAGCACGGCATTGCGGGCCAAAGGCGGAGGAAGGCGAGGGACAAGGGGCAGGGGCTGGAGGGGGCGCCGCGCCAGCCCCCCACCGCCTGAGCAGACCTGGCTGAGAGACTCCGCGCTGAGAGCTCTGCCCGAGTGATTTGGAGCCCCCAGCCCTTGGCCAAGGGAGGTGCGATCAGCAACAGGACTGCCTGGGCGGCGAAGACCCGCATCAGACGGTGCAGAGAGACGGAGATGAAGCGTACAACCATCACCTGCTCCAGGTCCAGTACGGCTCACTCCCAAGTGGCCAAAACTCACATGCTCACAAAATCCAAGTTCCAATGAAGAATCCAAGTGCTACTCAGACAGGAGATGGGGAAATCTGGGATTCGTCTGTTGCGATACTCCGAAGCATCGAGTTGAACTGGGAACATGCAACCAGCCATCGCATGCAATGGCAAACCGCTCGAGATCAGGACGCAGGTGGCACCGCAACGAGGAGCCACGACACCAAGCCGACCGCCAAGCACTGGAAACCCTCGAAAGCATGCATCTGTCGAGAGAAGACACTCACGCGTACCAGATGGAATGCGCAGAAAGCGCCTCAAAGAGGCGGTATCGACACACCAATAACCAATCATAGCGAGGTGTACAAAAACGCGCCAGCAACTCAAACAAGACCTGAATTAAACATGATCGACCCACGAACCCGGAAAGGAATATAGAACTGTAAGGCGTGGAAGCGTGTTCAAAAACACCTGATGGGGCGACAAGCACATGCAATGCTGAATGTATCGATCTTGGTGCACCGTGCCGAAGGCTGTGCTGTGCTGCGCCGTGCTGAACTGCGATGTGCCATGCCGCGATTGTGCTCTATAGCGTTGTGGATCGAGTCTTCCTTTGCATCCGAGTCCTGACCGAACTGATCTGGATCTGAAGTTCGAGCTGCCTGAGCACATAGTAGCTGCCCCAGAGCTAATTGACAAGGGGACATGCCAGGAGGACGCGCCGCGGAACGTCCCAAGGGACGCGCCAGGGGACGTGCCATGGGGACGCACCGCGCGACAAGGGGACTCGCCACGGGACGCGCCACGGAACGTGCCAGGGAACGTGCCAAGCGACGCACCAAAGAACGTGCCAAGGAACGCGTCAGGGAACGTGCCATGGAACATCCCTGATCCAAGGCCAGGATCCATCGTACATTACGCTGCGTCCGCGCTCCCAGGGCCACGATTCATTGTAAATTATGCTGCGTCTGAAATCGCAAGGCCACGATTCATCGTAAATTACGCTGCGTCCGCGCTCCCTGGGCCACGATCCCTTGTAAATTATGATTATGCTGCGTCCGCTCCCCCTGGGTCACGATCCCTCGTAAACTACGCTGCATCCGCGCTCCCAAGGCCGCGCTCGCTTGTGAATTATGCTGTATCCGCACTCCCAGGGCCACATTCCTTAGTCAATTACAGTGTCCGCCCCCCCAAAGCCACGCTCCCTTGTAAATTATGCTGCGACCGCGCTCCCAAGGCCACGATCGATTGTAAATTGCGCTGCGTCCGCGCTCCCAGGGCCACGATCTACTGTAAATTGCGCGGCGTCCGCGCTCCCAAGGCCACGATCTACTGTAAATTATGCTGCGTCCGCGCTCCCTGGGCCACGATCCCTTGTAAATTGCGCTGCGTCCGCTCTCCCTGGGCCATGGTCGATCGTAAACTACGCTGCGTTCGCGCTCCCAGGGCCGCGCTCGCTTGTGAATTACGCTGTGTCCGCGCTCCCAGGGCCACGTTCCCTAGTAAATTACGCTGTGTCCGCCCCCCCAGGGCCACGCTCCCTTGTAAATTACGCTGCGTCCGCGCACCCAAGGCCACGATCCATTAACTGATCATGGACAACATGAACACATCAGTGATGGAACATCCCCCTCCAAGAGAAGCTCGAAGCTGGTCATGCTCACGCTCCTGGATGATTCCATGTGGAGGCACGCGCTTGGCCCAGCATTGCCATGAACGACAATAGTGTGGCAAGCAAGAGCGGATTGAAGGAGTCCGGAAATTGTTTCCCGCCTTGAAATAGCTAAACTGGTCAATCCTGTTTTGTCTCGTTTTCTCCGTTTGGGGTATTTAAGGAAAGGTCCTTTCGGGCCAGCTCATTCATCTCTCGAACGCATCGGTTGGGAGCTTGGCGGGCCCTTTAAATTTTCAGTGTCTTACCTTCAGTATGACAGATGCCTCTCCGCAAAAAAGCTGCAATATTTGACGCAGAAGCAGTGGCGTCAACAAGCGGCGCTGCTCCCAGCAAGCATCGCTTCCTTTCCTAATTGGAAGTTGGTCCCTAGTTCGGCAATCAGAATTCTGGGAGAGAGGAAATGTGAATGCCATAATCGTTACCTTACGAAATATTACCCCTCTCAATCACACTGGCATGCGTTGGGCTATGAGAGGGGACCGTACTGTTCTTAATTTGGCGCCGCGCCAAACAGCCTCTACCATGCAATATGAGAGTGCAATGGGACGGGGTCTTGCAAGGAGGGGTGGATCAACCGGTCGGACAAAGCAACATTGTTCCGTCCCGGGTGCAGGCATAAGCTCCTCTTAAGCTTCAGGTTGTGCCCCCCTCCCCCCTGCGTCGCCCCAGCTGGAATCGATATCGAAAACTTCCAGTCCCAGTACCCGACCAGCAAGTTATGGTAAGCGATGTCTTCATCGAATGAAGCTGCTTCAAGGACGGCGCCAAACATTATCATCATGCAGGTTGGGGCAGAAGCAAAGCTCCTGGGTAGAATCTGTGGTACAGTCGAGGATCTGCTTCCACAGATCTCGTCTGCATGGGAACATGTTGCAGCACGTGAGGTAACAACTCTTCTCCTGATGCTACGACTGCATATGCCGATTACTCTGGAGTCTCTGAAATGCCGAAATGCCCAACAAGCCTAAGCATACTAACCTGCATCGAAAGAAGTACTGCGACGGCCTCAAAGTCTCAATTCTTGGTAGAGAACCTGTGGGCTTCCATATTCCGATGGTGAAGGCCCACGTCAAGCCTGAGTCCCTCGAGCGCTTCCCACCAGACTGGTATACATCCAGAAGGGAATGAAGTTGCGTACGCATCAGCTAAGCCTGGCGCTTTGATGCACAGCGGCCCCAACAATTCGGAGGTTGAGAGATGGGACTCCCGCGGCAAAGCGCTCAGCATGCTCTTGCAGTTGGTACCCTGTGCCTTAGCGTTGTTCCCCCGACCTCCCAAAGAGAAGTGGGAGCGGGTTAGGCTGGCGGTGATGCAGGGGCAGTGCAGGTTCCATCCTGGATGCGCTCGGGCGTATTCAGCAGAAGCTCGGGATTCAGGGGACAGTGGCTGGTGCACGAGCAGATCAGGAGCAGTCCTCCCCTCCACCTCTCCCTCCTCCCCTCCTCCTGTCGCACCTCAGGCCGTTCGAGACGGCCCCAGCCTCCGTCAATGGAGGTGGCGTCCAGAAGGATACTGGACCTGTCTCCACTGCCAGCGCCGCAACACCAAAATGAGACACTAGCCCCCTTCGGTGGCACCCGTCATCCCCCCCTCCTGACGAGAGGTGCCAAGGGGCCTCACCCATTCTGCGCAGCCTGGAGAATAGTCAACGCGGTCACGCACTGCTGTGACTGAACACCCCACTGGCATCCGAAGTATCAGCCGAACGTGTGGCAGATATTCAGAAGTGGCCAGGGCGCAAGGGCTGGAAGACCCCTGCCACCCAGCCAAAGTCTCCAACACGGTTACATCCAATTCGAGTCGCATGTTTAAAGGCAAATCCCTGAACCACCGTGGGTAGCAACAAGGTCATCTTAGGTGACCTCCTCCCCGCTTGACACTAACTTATGAGCTCAGACAGGGACTTGTAGAGGAGCTAGCAAGGCAGCAGGCCCGCTACTTTGCCGCACGCAGAGCGTGACACCTGGTGGGAGGGATCCTCCTGTCACGGTGGTGCCCGCGCTAGGTCGCGGGGCAGTGTCACACCTGGTCGGGGGGGGGACCGCCCGTCATGTTTCCCGCGCTGTTTCGTTCCCTCCCTCCCCTCCCTCTGGGAATGGATGCGGCGGAGCCGCGTCGGCATCGGCAGCGCCCCTGGCGGAGCCATGGAGCCAGCCGCTGGGCGAGCGTGCGCGGCTTAGATCCACCCCGAAGCGACAATCAAATAAGTCTCCTCTGAGGTCCCCAGACGTTTCTGGAGGCTCCTCGGGCCTGCCCAAAACTCAAACACGATCGAAATCTAGATCCTGCAGCCTTGCCCTCTGTATGAAACAAATTATGTATTTATTCCATTCGTTTCCGTGCCAGTGCCCCCCCTGCCAAAAGCCCCGGGACCGTTAACACCGTTAACAAAATCAGGATGAAGAACTGGCCCTGGGGAGACCCGGGGTCTAGGACCCGTCACCCTCAGGACCCCCTTCCCCCGTGGCGATCATCCCTCCACGTCTGCTTCCTGGCCCCCGGGCAGCTCCTCGCCGTTCTGGAAGCGGTAATAGAAGCGGCCGTAGCGCTGCCGATCCTCCCCGCTGGCGGAGGGGCAGGGCGTTCCCGAAGGACAGACCGTCCTTACCCTCGCCACTCTGCTCACGAGACGGGCCACACCCGATGTGATGTTTCAGGCTGGCTCGGGCCGCTGGCGGCCTCCCAAGTAGGGTCGGAGTAGATGGTGTCGGCGGCTCACGCTGCATCGCCGATGCATCGGCGATGCATCGGCGCAGTCCGCCATGCATCGGCGGGTTCGGCCTGGAGACGACCCGGCTCCGCACGGATCCGTATCGCCGATGCATCAGCGAGGGTGCGTTCCTCCGACCCCCATCCATCTACCAGGACCTTGTTTGGGAAGCCTGGGGCCGCGCACCCGATGCAGCACCTGCGACAGGGATTCTGGAGGTGGGTGTCCAGTGACACGGCGCCGCCTGGCGGAAAAGCTCGACGAAGAGGATCGGCGCGCGGAGAAACGGCGGGCTCCCAGCGAGCGGGATGGGCGGCGCCCTGGCGAGGGGGGGGAGGGACGAGAGGTGGAAGGGACGCAATTCAAGGTGATGAAGAGGATGTGATACACTACGCGACAGCGAAAATCGGCAACAAGAAGGAAGAGGAGGACGGGAGGTTTGTGCGGACGATGCTGGATGGCGAGGAGAAGGGGGCGGGAGGGGGAGCAGGAGCGATGGAGGAGGGCGAGTGCGAGAGGTCGGGTGGTCACGATGGTGATGGCGATGCGGACGGGAGGACCACAGTTAATCCAACACGCGCCACTGATGCTGCGAGAAACCCTTCAATTCGAAGATCCCTGATGAATAGCCCGTGCAAGTTCAATTTCACCACGGCGAATATATGTTGCAAAGGCGATTGTACATTGACATGCGTGGTGAGGGTCCTATGTTATGTGATGAACCTGGCATCGACATTTATCGACAGACCATCGTTCAACAACACGAGTCTCACCAGCCCTCTGGGCGCAGGTGGTTTAGCGAGTTTGTCATCCCAATCCTCTCGTTTCTCTTCGAAGAGTGGCTTTCGTACCCCTTCCCCTCCTCCACGCCAGAAGGCTTCCACCCCTCGCCTAGCCACTCAAAGAGGAGCCCTCTTGGGGACAGTTTGGGACCCATCCTCGTGACGCCTCTACGAACCTCTTGGGGCCTTTTTGGTGCCAACTATGTGTTGGCCTTCAGAAATCCAGATGTGCTGGAAGCCCTCTTGGGGCCCTCTCTGGGACCTCTGGGGTCGTCTTGGGCCCCTCCTGTGCGGCCCTCCCGAGACCTCACTAGCCTGTCGGGGGCGAAGAGGCGAGACGGCCACCAACAGGGAATTTCCTTCATTGCTGCCTCTTCTCCCCCATCCGCCTTTCCTGTCCGCCTCCGCATCGTCGTCTTCGTCCTCCTCCGCCTATTCCTATTACTACTACACCATCCCATCCTCCTCCTCCTCCGCCTCGTTCTCCTCCTCCTCCTCCTCCTCCTCCTCATCTTCGCCCAGAGTCCAAGTCCGACTGGACGTCCAACTCCAACTCCAAATCCGCCTCCTCCCCCTCCTCCTCCTCCTCCTCCTCCTCCTCCTCCTCCTCCTCCTCCTCCGTCCCCTCCTTTTTCCTTCTCCCCCTCATCCCCCGTCTCCCTCCTCTATCCTCATCCTACTCCGCTCTTCTTGCAACGTGTGCGCGGCTGGTCATCCTTCAGGGACTGTTTCATGGTCTCTGGGTCTTGGAAGTTCCCGAAATCCTGCGAATAAGACGCCGCGATAGGGATGAGCCGGATGAGGGTGAAGTGGGCGATGTGGAAAACAATAATACTAAACATAGCAACGCCAGTCTTACCAGCAGCAGTGGTAGTAGGAGTTTGGCGGTAAGGACGATGAGGGCAAGGAACGACATCTGGATGAGAAAATGAAGGCGATCGGGAAACCCAACACAGTAAGTAGGCGGAGCGAGAATCGACCGCAGCAAGGGGCGGATCATGAGCAATCTGACTTATAGTTAATGTGAGCATGGCGCCACGCATGTTGTTAAGTTGCAAAATATGAGCGCATCAATTGCGCACGAAGAAAACGCGTTAGCATTTTTATTGGCCGCAGTTCGTAACCAGCCGCGGTGGTAAAGCGGATGATACCAACCGCTTTGCACCCACATCTCCCGCACCTTGCTTATCATGATCCATGACAACAATGCTGACAAGGGTCGTCTAAACAGAAAACGCGCGTCGTTCGACCTTTAATCGTTGACTCCCTCATCCTCACTGGGTGGGATCACCGCGAATGGAATGCTGCATGGCTGATGACTGCACGACCCGTCTGTCTCGCCAAGGGAAGCAACAATTACTCCGACGGTAGGACCCCGCATGAGGATCCTCTCGGCTAATCTGGAAATGCCCTCATCGTCGTCCTCGTGATTGGCGAGGCGTCCGTACTGTCTCCTTTTCGCATTCTCGAATGGCCACATCGCGCAGCCGTTGGGGCAATCCCGAGGGCCAGGCCGTTGGGACAACCCAGCGGATTGCTGGGGCGTGGGAACAGGCCTTTGGGACAACACCGCAGGCACCGAGCTAGTCGCGGCGGCGCTCAGGCGGGAGGCAGCACGAAGCCCACTTCTGCCGTGAGCTGCTCCGCCTCTGCCCTGAAATTCTCTGCTCTCTTGCCGAACTCCCTGAGCGCCTTCCGCAAGGTCGCCGGTGGCCCGCTGTCCAGGAACTCCCGTGGGGGCGGTCGCAGGATCAGCATGTTCCGCATGCACGTGGCGCGGGAGAATATGCCGTAGAGATGCAGCACTCCTCCTCCTCCTCCTCTGATGGCTCGAGCGAGTGGCCCTCTAA